TGGAGATGAGTCAAATTCCCAGCCTGGGCTGTTGTTTCAGTCCATACCCTGTGATATGAAAAATGAAAGTTTTTCTGCCTTGAGGAAAAATAAAAGAGTGGATCCTGTGATGCAGCAGAATAGTTATTTACACGAACGAGCAGTAAGTATGGTTGCAATACTTGCAGTTATAACTAAACTAATACAGTTACAATACTACAAAGCTGCTTTACTCGTGCACACCCTGGCCTGTTTTATGTAAATATTACTTTAAATGCTTTGTAGAACACTGTTAAAAGAGGCTACTTTTAACATTTTTATGAGTGCCACAAATTTTCAAAGTCCTAATCAAGGAAGTTTTCTCCCAAAGAAAACAGGTCTTCTAAACTGCCCCAGATAGCTTTTCTTTCTTTTTTTTTTTGCAGTCCACATTTTTCTTGATTTATCTGCACCACTATGTACCAATTTTACATAATATCCGCCTAGCGGGTATCATGCAAAGTAGTTTGGCACTCCCTCAAAAATGAATGAACAGCTGCCATGCAGTCTCCCTCTGCAGTGCTGCTTTTGCCAACTGTAATCTTTCTCAGGGACAACCAAAGCATAGAGATGCTGTTATTGGCTGTGACATTGGACACACGAGTCTTCATGCACTCCCAACCCCTGAGAGGGTGAACATCCAGCATCTTATTGTTATTTTTGATTGCAGTGTCCCCTTTAACATTGCAGTGCAAATTGAACAACTTGTGTGGTTAGCTTTAAATATATTCCCACTGGCCATAGTTGCATTAAAATTGAAAGGATGAGGGTCAGTCAACATTTTGGGAATCAGTTTGAAACCAGTAAACAGCCATACTCTGTTAGTTGTTTGTTAGTTCCTGTGTTTTCAGGTCACGTTTTTGTGTTATTTACCGCAAATTATACTCTGCTGGCTTTCTGAACACTTCCTGATGGTATGTAAAGGATCCTTTTGCTCACCCTCCAGGTCCTCAGCATGTTTCATGAAACTCTGCTCGGTAATTTCCTTGTAATTCTGCTGATATTGCTCCAACTAGACTCACATTGGCAGAAAAACTAATAATCAGAAAGTAATTTGTGTGAATTACTATGAAAAATATGAAAATAAAACTGCATCGTGTAACGCCTTCCTGAACGAGTTGGTTCTGGTTCTTATACATAGGGGATACATAGCTGAGCTCCAGGGTGTCGTCACCCGAAAGCTGGCATCAAGGCGACTGCATAAATCGAGTGTTATCTCTCTATTTTACCTGGTTGTTTACTAATCAGAGCAGCAGCAAAGAGGCAATCAAGCAGTAATGTAGTCAGGTATGAGGAATGATACTTTTCTAACATCCACTTTTCATCGAAGGAAGTTTTAAACTGTGGGTAAAAATACCTCCCACTTCACTACTTTACACCTACACATGCTGGGGTGTCTGTGGGGCAGTCGTGAGGCATGTGGGGGCCTGCAGATGTGAGTCTGATCTATAATAAGACCACTCTGTGAGGCATTTCAAATCTTCTCCTCCTCCTCCACTGCCATGCCTCCATTCCTTAGCTCCATCCAGGGAGTGCCACCTCCTCCACCTGTTGCTGTCCATCTGCAGCACAGAGCTGCAGTTTAAAGCTGCTGTAGGTGAAAACCTACAGCAGCTTAACAATCCCCAGTCATCTGCATGTTTACACTTTCACTGTAATATTCTCACCTGAAAATGTTTCTTCACTTTTCTAATTTCACAGATCAGGAAATGTAAACATGTGTTTTAAGTGTCTTTTATTTTTATTTTGTTTATTACAGTTTCAATAATTGAACAGATTTCTATATAGTTTGTATATACATTTAAAAATTACATCACTCGCTGGAAATTTCTGTCACCGTTATGCCTACTTTAGTTTAATAAAACATTTCAGTAACAACTGCTCATTTAGACTCTGACGCCACTTATGGGCCATTAGTTCAGCAGTGCAGTGGGTACACCTGCTATTGCCGCTGCACTTGATAAATAGTCCCTCTCAGTAGCACAAAAACAAGTCAGAAAGGGTTAGAATATCCTAAATAAAAATATTCTATTTCTAAAGATCATATTTTGTCTTTAGTCTGTGTCTGATTTTAAGTTTAAACTATATTCAAATGCACGTGAAAACACCAGAGAGTGAAAACATCTTATTCCAGAGCTCAGTGTCTAAAAGTAGATCATTATTCTTTAGATAATTGTCTTAAAACCTTGAAGAATAAACATGTGTGAGGGTGAGGTCTCTGTCTCTACTAGAGCACCATTCAGTGAATTAGCAGGTACTCTGGGATGGTTCTGATGTCTCCGCGGATCTTTTAAAAGCATCGGTCTCTTCAAAATGTTGTTCTGTTCCATTAATTCGTGTCCCTGCTCCTCCGTGACTGATACACTGACGGCTGGGATGCAGCGAATGTATGTTATGTGTTCCTGTGACCCGCTAGACACCAGATACCCCCTACCCACCCAAACAGGCACGGCATCCACGCTGACACCACACGCCCAAACACACGCACTCAAATTCACACACACACGCACATAGCTGAGCTGAGGCACCGAAAAGTAACCACATGATTGCAGAGAAACAGAGGTGATTCCTGCAGACTTGTGCTGTTGTTGGCAAGTCCATGAATTCAAGAACGTTCTTAAAAATATTTCCAACAAACCAAACTTTGTCCAGCAGATGCACTGTGCACAGGGGCAAAATATTAGCCCACTTCCTGATTTCTTCGTTTATTTGTTTCTTCCATATTTGTCTCACTTAAATGTTTCAGATCATCAAAGTAATCTTAACATGAGTGAATACAGTGTGGGAACAAAAACTAATCAAACCTACCTGACCCTCCTTCAATCATTAATTGACTCTGATTAGCAACAGCTTTTGCAAAGCTGAGACAAATTTCTCTAGCCACGCTTAAAGAGAACATGTCTGACAAACCAAAGGAGTCTAAAAGATCTCAAAAAGCAACACATCGTGCCGTGATCTAAAGAAACTCAGAGTTACAAAACCATTTCTAAGGCGAACCATAGTGAGAGGTTTCATCCACAACTTGGAACAGCGGTGAACTTTCCTAGGAGTGGCTGGCCTACCAAAATTTCAAAAATAGTGCATTGACAAGTCAGCCCAGAATAACTTGTAAAGAACTGCAGGCCTTACATGCTCCAGTTAAGGTCACAGTTCATGATTCAGCAATAAGAAAAAGACTTGGCAAAAATGGCATCCATGAGAGAGTTCAGAGGAGAAGATCATTGCTACCAAAAAGAACAAAGGCACATCTCACATTTGTTAAAAGGACTCTGTAGACTAATGGGACAAAAGTTGAACTATTTAGAAGATCTGATTCCTGTTTTATCTGGTGTAAAACTAACAAAGTATCTCAAAAAGAGATCATCACACCAACAGTCAAACTTGTGGGCGCCAGTGATGTTCTGGAAGTGCTTTGCTGCTTCATGACCTGGACCATATGTCATAATTGATGGAACCATAAAATCTGCTCTGTACCAGAAAATCCGGAAGGAAAATGTTCGGGCATCAGTTTGTGCTGTGAAGCTCAAGAGCACTTGGATTATACAGCAGGACAATGATCCAAAACATGCCAAGATCGTTTTGAAAGTCTGGATTTATCCAATTGAACAGCTTTGGCATGACTTTAAACAGACTGTTCATGCTGAAAAACCTTCCAATATTGCAAATGCCTGATTGCACTTCTTGCCGCCAAGGGTGGTACTTTAGGCACTTTTTCACATAGGGTCAGCCAAGTTACACTGGATAAACAGAAAGGTTCAGGATGCACAGGGTTAAAACAAGCAGTGGAAGTATTCTTGCCTTGATCAATCCTCATTTTAAACACGCACAAACCTAAACCTGTATTTTACTATTTGACCTACAAACAGCTTGATTTGTCATGCTTGTATCTGCACTGCAGTCTCTAGGACATCACCTTTGTTTAATGAAGTTCATTTGTGCCATGTGAACAGTTTATATAACTCAAAAACCAAGAAACGCTGCACTCTCATAGGCTAGAAGCTTGCAGTGTCACATGAAAAAAATGCCCTGCTTTATCATCCATTTTAACTCTTGTGGTGAGTAGAGTCAGACAGTGCACCTGTAAGAAGGTCAGTTCTTTCCTACCATTATTCCAAACTTTGCATATTGCCACTGCGGTAGTATAATTTTATCAGCCTTCAGGGAGCATAGTGGTGTGCATCACCTCGGAGCAGCTGCTGACATGAAAAGTTACCAAAATAAACAATTTTGGCATTTTAGTATTTCTACAGAATATTTATAAGACACTAGTTTAGGCTTGTTGGGACCACTGGTTTCCTAAAGGTGTGAATGGACAGTTTGTGCAGATGGCTGGGCTCGGGCAATCAGTGCAGAGCAATAACTGAGACTATGGAAAGAATGTAAACCCTTCCAGAAGCTTCAGACTGACAGCTGTGTCACTATATCAGAGCCTCTAACTCCATATACTTAAACCTGACATGAATACCAGATGTTCATTTTCTCAAGAGCACTACCGGGGCTAATTTACTGTTACATGATGCTGTTATATTTCGATGGCATGTGAATAGTGAGTGGTGTCCTGCTGTCTCAAAGAAAGTGCTTTATGTCACCAAATGTCCACTGAAACAACAATTACTAGGCGTTTTTTGTTCTAGTTTTATTCTGCTCTTTTTGCTGGGCAAATTTTCCCAAGCATCCACCCTTTCATTGCTTTTGATTTATACATGAAAATGAACTCACCTCTGAACCATCTTCATTTTTTTTCTAACGAAACTTGAGGTAATTGCACAATTGCATTCTTCCTTGTTTATCGTCTTTCAAATGCAGGAAAATTGGCTGAATAAATTCAGGAAATGTCCTTCTACTCTCATTCTTTATGCCGCTCAACAAATCACTAACATGCTCCGTATCTAAAGATAATACCAAAGACATTCTGTTCATCACTGATTGATAATCAATGAATTAACAAATTAACAAGGAGTTGTTTTCTTTTAATGTTTTAGACAGAGACCAAGAGGACAGCCATGTTTTCAACCAGACCAGAGATCCAGCCGTAAGTACACAGCCTTCTTCCTGCTCATGCAAACACACCCATAAGTCATGTTACAGGTGTTACAGAGAAAATGTTTGATACGAACAGTACCAAGAGTTACCTGCATGAATGAAATTTGGAATTTACTCTAAATAAGGTGTATGTACAAACTGAGCTGTCACTTTAAAATGTGCAGATCTGCACATAAACAACCAAACAAAAGCTAAACTATCTTGGTGCACGCAGAAATTATCATGTTTAGGTTTTAAAAGTGCACATGCATCCTTCATTTAGAGACAGAAATGGCAACTAATTCATGATATCTATGTGCACGAAAGGGTCCCTGGTGTCAAAAAGGTTTAAAAACCTGTACCAGACTTTCTTCGATCTTGGCATAAATTCATGAATTCTTAAAAATACAGAGCTGAGATGCAAGAGATTTAAACAGATCATTCCCTAATCAGTGGCAAATAATCTCATACATAAAGGTTATTGTGATTTTAAAGTTATATAGATTTTTAGGCATGATAAATATAAGGAATATTCACTTCTCCATTAGACAGTTTTGGGTTGTTGTTTTTTTTTTTTTTTATACCCTTTTCTTGTTTTCTGTCCACAATGTCGATGATCATGTGAAACACGGCCACCAGAAACTCAAACATTAAGTAAAAATAATAATAATTCAGACTCCACCAAATGCTCAGTTTCATGCATTTTTTTCTGCTTTTGGATTTGTATGATGTCATAGTGAAGGCATGTGGTCATATCAGGCAAACAGCTGTGGCTGTCACCACAGATGTCCCGCCCACCTGCCATTTAAACCCTCTGTTTACAAGAAGCAGCAAATCAGAAGAAAGCTGACCTTAAAAAGGAAACCAAGGAATCAGTCTTAAATAAATAATGGTGATTTTGCACAAAAAATCATGCAATGTGACTTTTTGTCCAACAACAAAAATCCGATACTGGAAATGAGCTGAACAGGTCGCCTTTAGATTACAACATAAAAAACAAAAATAGTATATTACTGTTTAATTAAGTAACTGCAGTGTTTGACCAAGAATCAACTGTTTGCTTATCCCAATACACAAAGAAAAAAGTTGAGCAATTTCCATTTGACTGTATATAATAATAATAATAATAATAATAATAATAATAATAATGATTCTGTAACTATAAAAAACATGCAGCATTTCAGCTCTAAGTACCCAGGGGACACTTTCAGTCAGTGGAGCGATTCTTTTATGCGACTGCTGTTTAACTGAAACGAGCGTCGACAGACGTGACTGTTTGTCATGTTGCACAGCCGTGTATTTTACTGTGGCTGTTCATTTGCTCTAATCAAATCTATTTTAAATGTAGTGCATTATTGCACTTTATGAAGCGAGCTGCACATTATCTCTAGTGGCGTAGCACCTCATAAACAGAGCACTAAGTCATTACAGCTTTAAGTTTTATGCCTGCTGACTGCTGTGTTTCTGTGAGAGGAAATGCGTGTATTTATATATCTTTGAACAAGCAGCTTGCGGGGTGAGCACTAAAGACATGAGCATGGTAAGACAGCTTTCAGGAATATTACATTTGGTAAGCAAAATGGTTTCAAACTGAATTCTTCTAATGGGAACAATTATAAGATCTATTATCACAGGCATTCAGCTTTCACTGTGTGCTGGGAATTTATAGTTTGTGTCAGAGGTTACACTGTCAAAGTGTTGGAACATAATGTTTTGACAAGATCATCTGTGCAAGAGTTCATGTCACAAGCAGAGGAAGGAGATATAGGAGGGTTGGACATGGTGTGCTTCCTCTAGAAAAGGGGGCGAGAGGTAAATGCCCCTATTTTTAACTTTGACTTAGTCTAAAATTAGTCTTGGGGAGAAACACCGTTTCAGTCCAAGAAAAAATATTCTTTGCAAATTAGAGGCAGCAGCAGAATAACAACAATATGTCGTGGTGGATTTAATCAGAAAAAAATGAAATTATAAAGTAGATCACAAAGAGTTTATTTCATAATTCAATTTATAGTGGTTAACAGTCACCTGAAAGAAAATACCTTCATCTTTTCTTGCAGCTGTCTCTGAAAAACCTGCTTCAATAGGAGAACACAGCCAATGCAAACAACAGGATCACCAGTCATCTGGGGGACATTAAAAATGTAGCTGCTTCAGAAAAAAAATTTCACAATGCTTCTGTATTTTGCAAATACTGTTTGCAATAAAACCTGCATCACTTTTTAATACTGTGATTTTCATCCTGATACTGGATGGTACTGAAGCATGACTAGCACACAGAGTCAGAAACGTAACAAGACTACAGCTTGTACTGTAAATCTTATTTTACTCATGCAGAGGACGTTTGCTGAGCTGGACATGCACACTGTAGCTTACATTTTTCACATCTGGGAGATTCCCAGTACAGTTTTCCTCTGTTAAACAGCTTCACTGGAGCAGCAGAGAAAGAAATGTCAATATGTGTTAAAATTTAAAACATACGTCTCCCTGTTCTTAAGATTTTTCCCACAGCTTCCACTGCAGAGCTGTTCACAGGCCCAAAATAATCTTATTAATTGAGTTAAAGGGTAAAACCACCAGAAACTGCTGCCTCACGCGCTCAAACATCTCACTTTCTGTTGTCTGGGCAGGTAAAAGATAAGAGGCGGTCACCCCCGTCTTCCAGATCCCCCTCCGCCCCCCAGCGCAACCCTCACCACAGCGGCTCCACAGAGGAACAGGAGAGCCCTGAGAGAGTGGTGAGACACAGAAAATGACCTGCAATGATAGGATGCACATGAAGGTTTCATGCATAAACTGAGTTTTACTGCCATGCATCCATGTGTCAGAATAAAGGTGTTTACAAATCTAATTGTCAATAAAGAAAAAAAAAAGGTTGTCTGAAAAGCAACAGCGCTGACAAATCATCTTTTTCATCCATTTTTCATAAAAGGTAAAAACATTGGGTCATTTTAACCTCCTAGGACCTGGCGTCCACATATGTGGACATCACATTTTGGGTTATTTAGACCAAAATACTCAATTTTGCTCTACAAGGGCCTGATATCCACTTATGAGGACTTTATGCTGCTACTGTTCTATCGAAATTTTAAACGAATATCCTCATAAGTGGCTCTCATTTTTCTCAGAAACAAAAATTGGGTAAAAAATTTTTTTTAGTAATTCTTTGTTTTTACATTCATCAGGTCCCAATCAGCCCAAATATCAAAGAGAAATTAAAAATGCATGCTGTGGAAGAGTTCGGGTCTTAGGAGGTTAAAGTGTATCTGAAAAGACTTTTAGGTAATCCATCTTATTGTGATCAGTATAACAAATGCCACTTCCTACCAGGCAATATTTTACACTAGCTTTATGAATTTTACAGAATTGGTCTTTACCGTACAAAATAACGTACCTTGCAGTAATTGCTGTTGTGATGTGGCTCTATATAAATAAAAATAAATTGAATTAAATTTGATTAGCGGGAATTGATTTACCTTTGGAGCCAGCCTTTAGTGGCTGCTGAAGGAACTGACAGCCATTTAAATATTAACGTTTTTCAGCTGTGGAGCTTTCTGTGTGTGTAAAGGGTTCTGATCAGTCATGTAAATATCAGATTCTCAATGCTAGTGTTATAAATTTAACCAAAAAAACAAAAAATCTTTATTTATTTAGCTTATACACAGTATCAGTTTAGTTAGTTTTTGCTTTATTTCAGTTAACAGTAGCATCCCCAGGCTTCTACCTTTCTACCTTTAAAACCTGGAGAGCAGCCAAATGGCTGGTAGGCTTTTAGCTAAGCTTTAGCTTCAGCCAAGTGGAAGCTAAATTGGCTAGTCATTCATATGTATATTAGGTTGTTACCTGGGAATTCTGGAGGGAGGGGAGTGGGGGTTTGAGTGGATTGAGGAATTTCCCTGCGAATCTTGTTGACTGTGCCGAGGATGGTGGTTTTCCGTCTAAGAAGTTTTTGCGCAAGTGAAAGCGATGTGAAAAAATTGTCCGTGGTAACATTTCTGCCCTTGTCTAGGAATGGTTCCATCAGCCTCATTACTACATTTTCAGAAAGTCTCTCCCCAGTGGGACGATTGGGGTCCTTGCCAAGATATGGGAAGACATTGCAAATGTACTTGGATTTTAGGTCGCAAGCCACCCAAAACTTGATCCCAAACTTGTCAGGTTTACTTGCAATATACTGCAGGAAACAGCACCGAGTCTTTGATGGGAAAAGCTGTTCATCAACGGTGATATGTAGACCAGGGTTGTAGCACGTGATGCAGTTGGTGACAAATGATCCCCACACACTGGAAATTGCAGCGAACTTATCAGTCTTTGCTCGATCACTGCGGGTGGACTTGTCATCAAAGCGTAGGTGTTGCATGATGTCTTGGAAGCGGTTTCGTGCCATAGTTCCAATTATCTGTGGGTTTCCCAGGTTTGCTGACCAGCAGTCATTTAGAGATGGAACCCTGTTAACCCCCCGCAAGATGACAATTGCAATAAATGCCATTAGTTCAGGGAGGTCCATGAACCAATGAACATGCTCCATGCACCACTCAGCAGGCCATTTGTAAATATGTGTACAAATGGTTGGTTTTTTGTACTGTTTTTATCAATAAATCTCAGCAACAAAGGACATACACCCATGTGTGTTGATTTCTCCCTAAGATGGCAAACTGAAACACTCCAAGTTGGTGACTTTTGGAGATTTATTTCCCTGGATGATTGAGAATGCATCAAGATGAAACACAAAAGGAAGTTCACAGCTTTTAGCAGCTCCCCCACCCCCTCAATCACACACCCCCACTCCCCTCCCTCCAGAATTCCCAGGTAACAACCTAATATACATATGAATGACTAGCCAATTTAGCTTCCACTTGGCTGAAGCTAAAGCTTAGCTAAAAGCCTACCAGCCATTTGGCTGCTCTCCGGGTTTTAAAGGTAGAAAAGCCAAATGGCTGCTCTCTGGGAGTTTTTAAGTAACACTAATTTTATTAGCTAGGTTCATATTTGTTTATGATTTCCTTGATTTGGATCAAAGCCATCGCAACTCCACTCACGTTCAGAAAATGTCTATTTAAAAAAAACTATGTTGGTATATAGATATATTCAGAGCAGAGAGGTGACTGACCTCCTGACCTGGACACTAACCAGGACCATTCAAACTGGAATACAATAGCCCAGGACAGATATGCTGAGGTCATTGTCCCACACGTAAACAAGCTCTCATTTCTCCCAGCTCAGCAGGAATGTCACTCCACAGTCTTTTCATGCGGCAGCAGGTGACCGCCAGCCACTGGACGCAAAATGAACAACAAAATGTCTAAATATGATGAAGCTGAAGTGACAGTGCAGGTGCTGGGACTCTGTAAACACCCCAACGCACAAACTAGAATGTTAGCAACTTTAGAAGGAGGACTTTTAGGAGGATTTTGCAAAAGGCGGTTGCTGTTGGATGGGACCAGACAGTAACACATACTGGTTGCAGTTATTTTGTGCCCATTTGTCTGCATTGCTAACAAGGTGAATGGGATATATCTTGTTATCATGTAGGAACAACAACAGCTGGAAGGACGGGGGGGCGGGATCAATTAGCCAAAATTATTTGAATATTAGCTAGGTGATATTTTTAGTTACATGGTTAAATATGTAGTTTGAACAATGCATGTAATTAAAATTCAGTTCTTATTTTTCACATTTAGATGTGTAATGTTGTAAATTTGCATTCTTATGTAATTATCAATTAACAAGACAGTCTATACAAAAACAAAAGTGGGTGCCTTATAACAAATGTATCCAATTAATTAAGGTTTTTTTCTTTATTTAAAATTTCATTGATTTTAAGTTTATTTTCCTTGATTACCATCTACAGGTATTACATTAAACAATAATATTAGTTATCTTTTAGCTTTCAGTTATTTTACAGTTTGTCCTTTATTTTTTCCAAAGGCTTGAAAGTAACACAATAAACTGCTGAAAATATATCTATTTTTATCTTCATTATGTTAAACTATATTTATGTCAAAGATTTACACAATTATTCTTTCCATTACTGAAGTAGCTATGCATGATAAGTCATTTTAAGCCCTCACACTTTGAGTCAGCTTTCTTATTATGGCTGCCAGAAGTTAACTAGTAGTTTGAAAAGGTGGTGGTTCTAAAATGCCGTGAGAAAAATGTCTAAAACTGAAGATTTAAGGCACTCTGAAGGCAAAATTTGGGATATACAGTAGAGTGTCATGAACTGCAAAGTTTAAGCAACAGACAAACAAATGTTTGTTTGTTGGCTGACAAACAAAATGTAAGCTTTATTCCAAAGCTGATAGCTTTAGTCCAGGAAGGGAAAAAATAAAGTGTAATCCAAGATTATATGAAGCTGGTTCCCAAAAGGCTATAAACAGGACTACAGAGACTTATGCTGAAAAGACAACAAAGGCTAGAATAAAGACAGACTGTTTCTACACATGAAGGCAGATGTCAGGTAGATGGAAACGCTTCTCCTTCCATCTACCAGCACAGTTGAACTACCAAAATAAATCAGGAAGTGAGTGACAATAACTGACACGGGAGATGTAGAGATTTGAACTTTCACACATCGGAGGATGCAGGGAGGAAGGGAATGCAAGTGACAACTTACAAACAGAACCTGGAAGTAAGAATTTGAAGTTCAAAGCACATGAAAACAAAAAACATAAATAACAAACTAAGAAAACAAGGAAAAGCATAACAAATCCACTTTGGTGTTTTTCTTTCTTCTTTTTTTGCTGCATCATGATATGGCACCTCAACCCCTGTCATCTGTGCTGTTGCAGGTGCAGAAGGAGAAGCTCCATGCCGAGCTGAAGCAGGTACTGAGCCAGAAGAGAAGTCATCTGAGAGAGTCGACCTGCCAGCTGGCCCAACCAGAGATGGACTCTGAGCCAGCAAATGAACAGACAGTAAGCAGAAGTCTGACTTTTCAGGCTGAAATATGTTACCTTTCTATGTATCAATGGCTTAAAGCTGTAATGTGCCAGGTGATGCACAGCTAAACACAGAAAACTGTTAACTTTTTCCTGCATTTTACTTCCTCTCTTCAGCCTGTGGAAAAGTGAATGTAGTCTAAGAATAGAATGACCTTTCTTCTGCGACAGCTTCATGGATAAAATGAACTTTGAAGTAAAGTTGAGAACAGTACAGTAAAACATGCACCTACTCAAACAAGTGCAAAATTTTACTCAGCATTGGAGCCCAAAAATAATTAAAATTCAAGACCGAAAAGTCGTTTTAGCAATTTTTTACTTGCTTTTGACCTGCTATTCAATTCTGATGCAGTAGTGTGATGCAGGCTGACAAAACCACAGGATTTATGCACTGACTAACTTCTTTTAAAAGACTGAAATAATGACTAGTATTTTGTGTTTAACTATATTTTTGCTATTACTAAACTAGTATTGGTAATAATAAAACAAAAAAAGAATCTCGTGGATAACCGAAGTTTTGTGTTGGTGTCTGTGTGTCGCAGAGTGTGGAGGAAGCCTCTAAATCTGTGGAGATTGTGGTGGAGACAGAGGCAGGGGCTGGAGCCAGCGGCTACAGTGTGACTGGTGGAGGAGAACGAGGGATCTTTGTAAAAGACGTCCTCAAAGACTCTCCAGCTGCTAAACACCTCAGTCTACAGCAAGGTGCCTGCAAGCACACCTGATTCATTTAGAAAGCACTACTAACATACATAACATTTATATAAGATTTAAAAGGTAATTAAAAAGATATTTAGACTTCTTTTAAGGAGTTTGCACAGAAAACTTTATTATTTGGGGGGAAAGCCCAATATTACATTTTCCACATCATCTGTTCTCATTTTATTTCATATCAGCTTTGTTTATATCCCACCTTTAAAAATAGAGTTCATGAATTGCTTCAGTAATATAATGAAATATGAAACAAAAAGCCAAAAAGTTGGGGCCAAATAAAGCAAATAAAATTAAGGTGAAATTAAGTTGAAGTTAAAAGGGGAAAAAATCTAATGTAACATGATATCAATAGAAGATAATAGGACAAGTCTTGACCCAGAAGGTGGAAATCTACAAATTCCAACAACAGTTGACGCCTATTTTTGTTGCAGAATTTTGCAGAATTTTTGTAAAAATCTTCAAATATTGATTAAACACTTCCTGACTCATCAGGGAGTCTGCAATTTCCAAAGAGTTAACAAACTCTAACCCACTTTTTTTTAAATGCATTTATTCTGATGACATTGTCATTAAGGGGGGGTGATTATCGATTTATCGATTAAAAACGATTCTGGCTTGGATAACGTGATATCGATTCATTAAAATCCTGAATCGATTTTTAAATATAAATTTATTTTGCCCGAAACGCCAGAATCTCAGGTTAAACCTCACAAAATTTCTACAACCACCAAACAGCTGAAACAGTAAATGAGAGCAGGTACACGGATTCTGCACGAAGACGTAAACACAAACACAACCCAACGCATCTGAATCAGTGAGATGTCGCCTTTTCACCCGACAGCACATACGCAGACACGGACACGCCGTCGGGGCTGAAAGCCGACTGCTCACTGATTTTGAAGCGTCGGCGGGCGCTTTGTGTTTCTGTGCTTTTTGTGCTAGATTCTGAAGCTGCAGGTTTTATCTCTCTCCAAACAATACTGACTGAACCAGCAGCAAAAGAAGATCCAAACTACGCTTCACATTTCGCTTCACATAAACATCGTCACGAATTTCCTCTTACTTTTGCTGTTTTGCTTCCACCACGATAAAAATCACACTTCCTGACTCACTTCAAGAACAGTTTCCCATTTAAAAATCTCTGTTTTCTGCATTAGTCGCTTACTTACCCACCAGTCTTAGGTGTCGGCCGCTGTTTGCTTGTTTTTTTTTTCGTTTTGGTTTGTTTTGGGGTTTTTTGCTTACTTCCGACAAGAAAGCCTCATTTCTGCTGTTCAATTCTGAACAAATTTAAACTTTTTAAAATTGTGCAAAATTGCAAAATGCTTAACTGTGTCTCTAATCAAACTTTATTTAATAAATCACTTTTACTTTTTCTACTTTTTCCACTAAATGCATCCTATACTAAATATACATCACAAACTGATGTACATGAATATATTGTTCATACTGTTTTTCTGTATGAAGGTGACCAGCTGCTAAGTGCCAAAGTCTACTTTGACAATGTGAGGTATGAAGACGCTTTAAAAATCCTTCAGTGCGCAGAGCCATATAGGGTCAGCTTCCAGCTTAAGCGAACCATCCCTGGAGCGGATGGCAGCGTGCGCCCAAAGGTTCCCAGTGTGGAGGTCAAAGGTCCCAAAGTCAAGATGGGCAAAATGGTAAAGTAGCTTTATCAATTTATTGTAATCACTTTTAATCCTGAAAGCCATTGTGCTGAAAAAATATATTGTGAGTGATCAACTAGTACAGATAGATGCAGGTCTTTAAATGTTGTTGACTGATGCTCTTGTCACACGTGTTTCTTTCAGAGTGTGAAGGGGACCAAACCATTCAAGACTCAGAAGAAACGAGGTGGACGTTTTGGTCTGAAAAGGCTAAAAGAGAAGCGAAGAGAGGAGCTGGTGGTAGAGGGAACACCTCCCAGGCTGGAGATGAGTGATGTAGAGTTTTCTCTTCCCAAATTCAAACAAAGGAAAAGTCCAAAAGTTGAAGTAGAGGAAGCCAGAGGAGCAGCAGTTGAGAGGAAGGCAAAGAAGAGGATGAGGTTGGCCTTTTTTGTTTGTTTCTTTCTCTTTGGTAGTTCCAAATAATACTACAATGCAATGCTTGTTGTACATTAAATTGCACAACATTAAATTATATCTATTGTAATGTTGTGCTTTAAATTAGATATAATCTTTTGGGGAAATATTACAATGTTCTTTCCTATTTCCTTTTTTCCTCTCTAAAACACTGTTTTCCAAGGTTCCCGCAAAAAGGAGCAAAAGTGGAGACAGGACGGTTTGAAGGACAAGTGAATATTTCCCCATCTGAAATGCCTGGAGCTAAAGTGAAAAGCAAAGGAAAAGGACACAAGTTTGGCATCACCTTTCCTACAAGCAAACACACAAAGTCAGGCTCTACTTTGGAAACTGGATCTGTGGAGCTGAAGCCTCCGGGGGTAAACATCCAGCCGCCATCTGTGGAGTTCAGTTTGTCTGCTAATAAAGATGTGGAGAAGGGAGCATCTAAAGTTAGCCTACCTGATGTGGAGTTTGCTCTCCCTTCAGGAAAAGCTGAGACATCTTTGCCCAGTGTGAAGGGAACGGCCAAAATCAAAGCTCCTGAAATGGACATCAAAGGAAGAGCTGAAACAGCTGAAGGAAAAGTTCATGTAGATGCAGACAAAGGAGATAAAAAGGTCAGAATGCCAAAGTTGAAACTACCCAAAGTTAGACTCTCACACCATTCAGATGAAATTGATGGTGACATCAAGGTAAAAGCTGGAGGCATCAAAATGCCTCATACTGACATAAAACCTCCAGAGGTAGAAATCAAAGGAGATGGGCAGATCGGTCTTCCCTCTGTTGATATTTCTTTGCCTAAAGTGAAGGGAAAGACTGACATATTGATCAAAGATCACGAAGGAATTAGGAAGACTGCAATCAACATGCCTGCCAGTGACATCTCTGTAGCTGATATTGATTTGGAATTAGACAGCGGACGGAGAATTCCTGATGAGGTCGAGGGCACTTTTAAAGGGCCCAAGATCTCTATGCCAAAGGTTGATATCTCACTACCTAAGATGGGATCATCGGTGGACACTGAGTGCCCAGAAGTGGAAGGAAAATTCTCTCTACCTTCTGTTGAGCTCTCACTCCCAAAGGTCCAATCAGACAGTGGAGATGTCCATATGGACTACTATGTTGGTGGTGATGGAAAATTCAAAATGCCTGATTTTGACATTTCTCAACCAGGAGAAGTAAACATAAGGGGACAAGGTGTGGAAGGGGAATTCAAGTTACCCAAAGTGGACCTGATCCTTCCCAAAGGCAAAGCAGGAGTGACTGATGTTGAAGGGGAAGGAAATTTTCATTTACCACCAAGTGAAATGCAGATACCCTCTGTTGATATTTCTCTTGAAAAGGGAAGGGCAAAGGGCAAAATTGAAATGGAGGCTCCCTCTGCTAAAGGACGATTCAAAATGCCTTCACTTGATGTCAGACTCCCTAAGATGGGAACATCTGAAACTGAGGCTAATTTACATGGTTCTGATATCAAAGGAGGGAAAATTGAACTGCCATCAATAGATGTTTCTCTGTCAAAAGACAAGGGAGGGGCTGAAACTGATGGAAAAGGAAGCAATTTTAAAATGCCTTCATGTAATATATCCCTACCAAAACTGAAGCCATCTGAAAAAGAGGTTGTTTTAGAAGGGAGTGAAGTAAAAGGAGGCAAACTCACCATGCCCACTGTAGACATTTCTCCTCCAAAAATAAAGCTACCTGACCCTGATGTCAAACTTGAAGGACCAGAACTTCCAGGTGTTGACTTTTCACTATCCAAGCCAAACATTGAGGCCAATGTGGAGCTCAGTGGCAGTGGGGGTAGCAAGTTCCAGCTCCCAACTTTTGATATCTCACTTCCAAAGGTGCCCACCAAAGAAGGGGAATTTGATATTGAATCTAAAGCAAAAGGAGGAGCAAAGTTCAACGTCCCATCACTTGACTTCGCTCTTCCTGTAATGAAATCACCAGAGGGAGAGGTAAAGATTGAGAGCCCTGAAGTCAAAGGAAGAAAATTCCAGATGCCTTCTTTGGATGTCTCACTACCAAAGATGAAGATGCCTGAGGGAAATCTTGTCCTAGAAGGACCTTCTCTTGACATCTCTCCTCCAAAGGGAAAAGCAAAAGGAAAAGCAGAGGGTGACATACAAGTAAAAAGTAAAGGAGAACCTTTTCAAATCCCTTCAGTTGATGTTTCTCTACCTCAAATTAAATCAAAGCAAGGTGATATAAATGTTGAAGGACCAGAAATTACCTTTGAAGGTAATGGGAAAGGAGGCAAATTCAATTTGCCATCTGTTGACATTGATCTTCCTGTTGTAAAAATGCCGACTGTTGATATTTCACTTCCAAAAGGTAAAGAAGAGGGAGAAGTTGACACTGGCATTGACATAAACACTGAAGGGCCTGAAGGTAGAGGAGGAAAGATAACACTGCCAAAATTTGACATTTCTTTACCAAAGGTAAATTTTCCTGAGGGTGATGTCAAATTAAAAGGACCTGAAACAAAGGGAAGAAAGATTGAAATGCCAGATATTGACATATCACTCCCCAAAGGAAAAGTAGGGGGGGAAATTGAAGGGCACACTGGCAAAGGCAACAAGTTCAACATGCCCTCTATTAACATCTCTCTCCCTAAAATAAAATCTAAAAGACCAGATATAGATACTGAAGGTCCTCAAGTCAAAGGTGGAAAACCAAACATGCCATCCATAGATCTTTCTACACCTAATATAAAATCTCAGGATGTAGATGTCGCGCTTGAGGGTCCTGATGTCAAGGGAGGGAACATCAAAATTCCATCTGTTGATGTTTCACTTCCTAAAGGAAAGGTTGAGGGTGACATAAATATCGAAGGCCCTGACATGAAAGGGGGCAAATTCAAAATGCCAAAATTTGATGTTTCTTTGCCTAAAGTCAGTCTCCCAAAGGCTGGAGTCGATGTTGAAGGACCAGATTTCAAAGGGAAACTTCAAATGCCCACTGCTGATATCTCTCTTCCAAAGGGAAAAGCAGATGTTGATATTGACATTGAAGGAAAAACTGGGAAAGGTGGCAAGTTTCACATGCCTTCAGTTGATATTTCTCTTCCTAAAATCAAAGCAAAGGGACTTGATGTTGATATCCAAGGGCCTGAAGTCAGAGGTGATATGTCACTCCCTAAAATCAAGTCTCCAGAGGTAGATATCAACCTCCAAGGTCCAGATATTAAAGGGGGGAAATTTAAATTGCCCACTGTCGACATGCCATCATTGGATCTCTCACTACCCAAAATGAAGTCTCCAGATGTAGATATTAATCTTGAGGGTCCTGATGTCAAGGGAGGGAACATCAAAATTCCATCTGTTGATGTTTCACTTCCTAAAGGAAAGGTTGAGGGCAGCCTTGATGTTGAGGGCCCTGAAGTGAAGGGTGACAAGTTTAAAATGCCAAAATTTGATATTTCTTTACCAAAAGAGAGTCTTCCAGAAGGTGGTGTCAAAATAAAAGGTCCTGACATTAAAACTGGAAAGATTGAGATGCCAGACATCGATATTTCACTCCCCAAAGGAAAAGCAAAAGGAAAAATTGAAGGAGATATTGGAAAAGGCGGAAAGTTCCACATGCCATCTATTGACCTGTCTTTTCCTAAAATCAAAGCCAAAGGTCCTGAAGTTAATGTTGAAGGCCCTCAGGTTGAAGATGGGAAGCTAAATATACCATCCCTTGATGTTTCGCTACCCAAAATGAAATCTCCAGATGTAGATGTCACTCTTGAGGGTCCTGACGTCAAGGGAGGGAAGATCAAAATTCCATCTGTTGATGTTTCACTTCCTAAAGGAAAGGTTGAGGGTGACATAAATATCGAAGGCCCTGACATGAAAGGGGGCAAATTCAAAATGCCAAAATTTGATGTTTCTTTGCCTAAAGTCAGTCTCCCAAAGGCTGGAGTCGATGTTGAAGGACCAGATTTCAAAGGGAAACTTCAAATGCCCACTGCTGATATTTCTCTTCCAAAGGGAAAAGCAGATGTGGATATTGACATTGAAGGAAAAACTGGTAAAGGTGGCAAGTTTCACATGCCTTCAGTTGATATTTCTCTTCCTAAAATCAAAGCAAAGGGACTTGATGTTGATATCCAAGGGCCTGAAGTCAGAGGTGATATGTCACTCCCTAAAATCAAGTCTCCAGAGGTAGATATCAACCTCCAAGGTCCAGATATTAAAGGGGGGAAATTTAAATTGCCCACTGTCGACATGCCATCATTGGATCTCTCACTACCCAAAATGAAGTCTCCAGATGTTGATGTCACTCTTGAGGGTCCTGATGTCAAGGGAGGGAACATCAAAATTCCATCTGTTGATGTTTCACTTCCTAAAGGAAAGGTTGAGGGTGACATAAATATCGAAGGCCCTGAGATGAAAGGGGGCAAATTCAAAATGCCAAAATTTGATGTTTCTTTGCCTAAAGTCAGTCTCCCAAAGGCTGGAGTCGATGTTGAAGGACCAGATTTCAAAGGGAAACTTCAAATGCCCACTGCTGATATCTCTCTTCCAAAGGGAAAAGCAGATGTGGATATTGACATTGAAGGAAAAACTGGTAAAGGTGGCAAGTTTCACATGCCTTCAGTTGATATTTCTCTTCCTAAAATCAAAGCAACAGGACTTGATGTTGATATCCAAGGACCTGAAGTCAAAGGTGATATGTCACTCCCTAAAATCAAGTCTCCTGAGGTAGATATCAGCCTCCAAGGTCCAGATATTAAAGGGGGGAGATTTAAATTGCCCACTGTCGACATGCCATCATTGGATCTCTCACTACCCAAAATGAAGTCTCCAGATGTTGATGTCACTCTTGAGGGTCCTGATGTCAAGGGAGGGAACATCAAAATTCCATCTGTTGATGTTTCACTTCCTAAAGGAAAGGTTGAGGGTGACATAAATATCGAAGGCCCTGACATGAAAGGGGGCAAATTCAAAATGCCAAAATTTGATGTTTCTTTGCCTAAAGTCAGTCTCCCAAAGGCTGGAGTCGATGTTGAAGGACCAGATTTCAAAGGGAAACTTCAAATGCCCACTGCTGATATCTCTCTTCCAAAGGGAAAAGCCGATGTGGATATTGACATTGAAGGAAAAACTGGTAAAGGTGGCAAGTTTCACATGCCTTCAGTTGATATTTCTCTTCCTAAAATCAAAGCAAAGGGACTTGATGTTGATATCCAAGGGCCTGAAGTCAGAGGTGATATGTCACTCCCTAAAATCAAGTCTCCAGAGGTAGATATCAACCTCCAAGGTCCAGATATTAAAGGGGGGAAATTTAAATTGCCCACTGTCGACATGCCATCATTGGATCTCTCACTACCCAAAATGAAGTCTCCAGATGTTGATGTCACTCTTGAGGGTCCTGATGTCAAGGGAGGGAACATCAAAATTCCATCTGTTGATGTTTCACTTCCTAAAGGAAAGGTTGAGGGCAGCCTTGATGTTGAGGGCCCTGAAGTGAAGGGTGACAAGTTTAAAATGCCAAAATTTGATATTTCTTTACCAAAAGAGAGTCTTCCAGAAGGTGGTGTCAAAATAAAAGGTCCTGACATTAAAACTGGAAAGATTGAGATGCCAGGCATCGATATTTCACTCCCCAAAGGAAAAGCAAAAGGAAAAATTGAAGGAGATATTGGAAAAGGTGGAAAGTTCCACATGCCATCTATTGACCTGTCTTTTCCTAAAATCAAAGCCAAAGGTCCTGAAGTTAATGTTGAAGGCCCTCAGGTTGAAGGTGGGAAGCTAAATATACCATCCCTTGATGTTTCGCTACCCAAAATGAAATCTCCAGATGTAGATGTCACTCTTGAGGGTCCTGATGTCAAGGGAGGGAACATCAAAATTCCATCTGTTGATGTTTCACTTCCTAAAGGAAAGGTTGAGGGTGACATAAATATCGAAGGCCCTGACATGAAAGGGGGCAAATTCAAAATGCCAAAATTTGATGTTTCTTTGCCTAAAGTCAGTCTCCCAAAGGCTGGAGTCGATGTTGAAGGACCAGATTTCAAAGGGAAACTTCAAATGCCCACTGCTGATATCTCTCTTCCAAAGGGAAAAGCAGATGTGGATATTGACATTGAAGGAAAAACTGGTAAAGGTGGCAAGTTTCACATGCCTTCAGTTGATATTTCTCTTCCTAAAATCAAAGCAACAGGACTTGATGTTGATATCCAAGGGCCTGAAGTCAGAGGTGATATGTCACTCCCTAAAATCAAGTCTCCAGAGGTAGATATCAACCTCCAAGGTCCAGATATTAAAGGGGGGAGATTTAAATTGCCCACTGTCGACATGCCATCATTGGATCTCTCACTACCCAAAATGAAGTCTCCAGATGTAGATATTAATCTTGAGGGTCCTGATGTCAAGGGAGGGAACATCAAAGTTCCATCTGTTGATGTTTCACTTCCTAAAGGAAAGGTTGAGGGTGACATAAATATCGAAGGCCCTGACATGAAAGGGGGCAAATTCAAAATGCCAAAATTTGATGTTTCTTTGCCTAAAGTCAGTCTCCCAAAGGCTGGAGTCGATGTTGAAGGACCAGATTTCAAAGGGAAACTTCAAATGCCCACTGCTGATATCTCTCTTCCAAAGGGAAGAGCAGATGTTGATATTGACATTGAAGGAAAAACTGGTAAAGGTGGCAAGTTTCACATGCCTTCAGTTGATATTTCTCTTCCTAAAATCAAAGCAAAGGGACTTGATGTTGATATCCAAGGACCTGAAGTCAAAGGTGATATGTCACTCCCTAAAATCAAGTCTCCTGAGGTAGATATCAGCCTCCAAGGTCCAGATATTAAAGGGGGGAAATTTAAATTGCCCACTGTCGACATGCCATCATTGGATCTCTCACTACCCAAAATGAAGTCTCCAGATGTTGATGTCACTCTTGAGGGTCCTGATGTCAAGGGAGGGAACATCAAAATTCCATCTGTTGATGTTTCACTTCCTAAAGGAAAGGTTGAGGATGACATAAATATCGAAGGCCCTGACATGAAAGGGGGCAAATTCAAAATGCCAAAATTTGATGTTTCTTTGCCTAAAGTCAGTCTCCCAAAGGCTGGAGTCGATGTTGAAGGACCAGATTTCAAAGGGAAACTTCAAATGCCCACTGCTGATATCTCTCTTCCAAAGGGAAAAGCCGATGTGGATATTGACATTGAAGGAAAAACTGGTAAAGGTGGCAAGTTTCACATGCCTTCAGCTGATATTTCTCTTCCTAAAATCAAAGCAAAGGGACTTGATGTTGATATCCAAGGGCCTGAAGTCAGAGGTGATATGTCACTCCCTAAAATCAAGTCTCCAGAGGTAGATATCAACCTCCAAGGTCCAGATATTAAAGGGGGGAAATTTAAATTGCCCACTGTCGACATGCCATCATTGGATCTCTCACTACCCAAAATGAAGTCTCCAGATGTTGATGTCACTCTTGAGGGTCCTGATGTCAAGGGAGGGAACATCAAAATTCCATCTGTTGATGTTTCACTTCCTAAAGGAAAGGTTGAGGGCAGCCTTGATGTTGAGGGCCCTGAAGTGAAGGGTGACAAGTTTAAAATGCCAAAATTTGATATTTCTTTACCAAAAGAGAGTCTTCCAGAAGGTGGTGTCAAAATAAAAGGTCCTGACATTAAAACTGGAAAGATTGAGATGCCAGACATCGATATTTCACTCCCCAAAGGAAAAGCAAAAGGAAAAATTGAAGGAGATATTGGAAAAGGTGGAAAGTTCCACATGCCATCTATTGACCTGTCTTTTCCTAAAATCAAAGCCAAGGGACCTGAAATTAATGTCGAAGGCCCTCAGGTTGAAGGTGGGAAGCTAAATATACCATCCCTTGATGTTTCGCTACCCAAAATGAAATCTCCAGATGTAGATGTCACTCTTGAGGGTCCTGATGTCAAGGGAGGGAAGATCAAAATTCCATCTGTTGATGTTTCACTTCCTAAAGGAAAGGTTGAGGGTGACATAAATATCGAAGGCCCTGACATGAAAGGGGGCAAATTCAAAATGCCAAAATTTGATGTTTCTTTGCCTAAAGTCAGTCTCCCAAAGGCTGGAGTCGATGTTGAAGGACCAGATTTCAAAGGGAAACTTCAAATGCCCACTGCTGATATCTCTCTTCCAAAGGGAAAAGCAGATGTGGATATTGACATTGAAGGAAAAACTGGTAAAGGTGGCAAGTTTCACATGCCTTCAGTTGATATTTCTCTTCCTAAAATCAAAGCAAAGGGACTTGATGTTGATATCCAAGGACCTGAAGTCAAAGGTGATATGTCACTCCCTAAAATCAAGTCTCCAGAGGTAGATATCAACCTCCAAGGTCCAGATATTAAAGGGGGGAAATTTAAATTGCCCACTGTCGACATGCCATCATTGGATCTCTCACTACCCAAAATGAAGTCTCCAGATGTAGATGTCACTCTTGAGGGTCCTGATGTCAAGAGAGGGAACATCAAAATTCCATCTGTTGATGTTTCACTTCCTAAAGGAAAGGTTGAGGGTGACATAAATATCGAAGGCCCTGAGATGAAAGGGGGCAAATTCAAAATGCCAAAATTTGATGTTTCTTTGCCTAAAGTCAATCTCCCAAAGGCTGGAGTCAATGTTGAAGGACCAGATTTCAAAGGGAAACTTCAAATGCCCACTGCTGATATCTCTCTTCCAAAGGGAAAAGCAGATGTGGATATTGACATTGAAGGAAAAACTGGGAAAGGTGGCAAGTTTCACATGCCTTCAGTTGATATTTCTCTTCCTAAAATCAAAGCAAAGGGACTTGATGTTGATATCCAAGGACCTGAAGTCAAAGGTGATATGTCACTCCCTAAAATCAAGTCTCCAGAGGTAGATATAAGCCTCCAAGGTCCAGATATTAAAGGGGGGAAATTTAAATTGCCCACTGTCGACATGCCATCATTGGATCTCTCACTACCCAAAATGAAGTCTCCAGATGTTGATGTCACTCTTGAGGGTCCTGATGTCAAGGGAGGGAACATCAAAATTCCATCTGTTGATGTTTCACTTCCTAAAGGAAAGGTTGAGGGTGACATAAATGTCGAAGGCCCTGAGATGAAAGGGGGCAAATTCAAAATGCCAAAATTTGATGTTTCTTTGCCTAAAGTCAGTCTCCCAAAGGCTGGAGTCGATGTTGAAGGACCAGATTTCAAAGGGAAACTTCAAATGCCCACTGCTGATATCTCTCTTCCAAAGGGAAAAGCAGATGTGGATATTGACATTGAAGGAAAAACTGGGAAAGGTGGCAAGTTTCACATGCCTTCAGTTGATATTTCTCTTCCTAAAATCAAAGCAAAGGGACTTGATGTTGATATCCAAGGGCCTGAAGTCAGAGGTGATATGTCACTCCCTAAAATCAAGTCTCCAGAGGTAGATATCAACCTCCAAGGTCCAGATATTAAAGGGGGGAAATTTAAATTGCCCACTGTCGACATGCCATCATTGGATCTCTCACTACCCAAAATGAAGTCTCCAGATGTAGATATTAATCTTGAGGGTCCTGATGTCAAGGGAGGGAACATCAAAATTCCATCTGTTGATGTTTCACTTCCTAAAGGAAAGGTTGAGGGTGACATAAATATCGAAGGCCCTGAGATGAAAGGGGGCAAATTCAAAATGCCAAAATTTGATGTTTCTTTGCCTAAAGTCAGTCTCCCAAAGGCTGGAGTCAATGTTGAAGGACCAGATTTCAAAGGGAAACTTCAAATGCCCACTGCTGATATCTCTCTTCCAAAGGGAAAAGCAGATGTGGATATTGACATTGAAGGAAAAACTGGGAAAGGTGGCAAGTTTCACATGCCTTCAGTTGATATTTCTCTTCCTAAAATCAAAGCAAAGGGACTTGATGTTGATATCCAAGGACCTGAAGTCAAAGGTGATATGTCACTCCCTAAAATCAAGTCTCCAGAGGTAGATATAAGCCTCCAAGGTCCAGATATTAAAGGGGGGAAATTTAAATTGCCCACTGTCGACATGCCATCATTGGATCTCTCACTACCCAAAATGAAGTCTCCAGATGTTGATGTCACTCTTGAGGGTCCTGATGTCAAGGGAGGGAACATCAAAATTCCATCTGTTGATGTTTCACTTCCTAAAGGAAAGGTTGAGGGTGACATAAATATCGAAGGCCCTGACATGAAAGGGGGCAAATTCAAAATGCCAAAATTTGATGTTTCTTTGCCTAAAGTCAGTCTCCCAAAGGCTGGAGTCGATGTTGAAGGACCAGATTTCAAAGGGAAACTTCAAATGCCCACTGCTGATATCTCTCTTCCAAAGGGAAAAGCAGATGTGGATATTGACATTGAAGGAAAAACTGGTAAAGGTGGCAAGTTTCACATGCCTTCAGTTGATATTTCTCTTCCTAAAATCAAAGCAAAGGGACTTGATGTTGATATCCAAGGGCCTGAAGTCAGAGGTGATATGTCACTCCCTAAAATCAAGTCTCCTGAGGTAGATATCAGCCTCCAAGGTCCAGATATTAAAGGGGGGAAATTTAAATTGCCCACTGTCGACATGCCATCATTGGATCTCTCACTACCCAAAATGAAGTCTCCAGATGTTGATGTCACTCTTGAGGGTCCTGATGTCAAGGGAGGGAACATCAAAATTCCATCTGTTGATGTTTCACTTCCTAAAGGAAAGGTTGAGGGTGACATAAATATCGAAGGGCCTGAGATGAAAGGGGGCAAATTCAAAATGCCAAAATTTGATGTTTCTTTGCCTAAAGTCAGTCTCCCAAAGGCTGGAGTCGATGTTGAAGGACCAGATTTCAAAGGGAAACTTCAAATGCCCACTGCTGATATCTCTCTTCCAAAGGGAAAAGCAGATGTGGATATTAACATTGAAGGAAAAACTGGTAAAGGTGGCAAGTTTCACATGCCTTCAGTTGATATTTCTCTTCCTAAAATCAAAGCAAAGGGACTTGATGTTGATATCCAAGGGCCTGAAGTCAGAGGTGATATGTCACTCCCTAAAATCAAGTCTCCAGAGGTAGATATAAGCCTCCAAGGTCCAGATATTAAAGGGGGGAAATTTAAATTGCCCACTGTCGACATGCCATCATTGGATCTCTCACTACCCAAAATGAAGTCTCCAGATGTTGATGTCACTCTTGAGGGTCCTGATGTCAAGGGAGGGAACATCAAAATTCCATCTGTTGATGTTTCACTTCCTAAAGGAAAGGTTGAGGGTGACATAAATATCGAAGGCCCTGACATGAAAGGGGGCAAATTCAAAATGCCAAAATTTGATGTTTCTTTGCCTAAAGTCAGTCTCCCAGAAGGTGGTGTAAAAATAAAGGGCCATGATACTAAAGGTGGGACAACTGAGATACCCGAAATTGATATTTCACTCCCTAAAGCAAAAGCACACGGAGAAATTGACGGGCACGCTGAAAAGGGTGGAAGGTTTCATATGCCATCTGTCTCTCTTCCTAAAATCAAAGCAACGGGACCTCAATTCAACATAGAAGGTGCACATCCAGGGTTTGAGATTTTACTACCTGAAGGAAAAGCTGAAGTTGACCTCAACATCGAAGGTCCTGGCAATAAAGGACGCAAATTCACAATGCCCAAAGTTGATATTTCACTTCCAAAGATGAACTTCCCAGAAGGTGATATCAAAGTGGAAGGACCCAACGTGAAGGGAGAAAAGGTTACAGTTCCAGAGGGTACAGTAGAGGGAGATATCAATATTGAAGGACTCTCTGAAAAAGGAAGGTTTGATATCCCGAAGGTTGAAGTTGATAAAAAAGGAGGTGGATTCCATATGCCAAGTCTTGACATAAATCTGCCCAAATTTGACCTTGACCTCAGCCTGCCCTCTGGTGTAAAAGCTAAAGGCTTCAAAGTTGATACTCTAAGTCCTGATGCATCTGGAGATTTGGAGATGTCTGGTCTTACAGGAGGCCTTAATCCTGCCAAATTGGAAGTTAAGAATGAAGATATAGAGACAGGTGGTCTAGAAGGTCCAGGTGCATCCCTAAAACTTCCCACAGTAAAACTACCAACAGTTGACATCTCAGCTCCAAAGATGGATCTCAATTTTGGCCTTACAAAACCCAAAGGTGATGATGTGGAAGTAGAACTTCTGAAAGCAGAAGGAGGGAGGCCTTCTTCAGGGGGCAGCTTTGATCTACCTGTTTTCCTCAAAGTACCTAGTTTCACTCTTCCTAGGTTTGGGGGAAAGACAAAGAGCTGTAACTTGGAAATACCAGTACCTAAGGGAGATACTTCACTCAGTTCACCACATGTAGAAGGAGAGATCAGAGCACCGTCGGTGGAGTTTGATGGAGGTGGAAAAGTCAAGGTGAAAAAACCTAAAATCAAACTGCCCTCATTTGGCATGTCCAAGAAGGCTGCAGATGTATCAGTCTCTTGTCCTGATGTTGATGTTAAAGGGAAAAGGGGAAAAATTGACATTCATCAACCAGATATCAATGTTGACAACTCAGATGACATGTCAAAATACAAAATGAAATTTCCCAAGTTAAAAATATCATCACCCAAAAGTGAACTCCCAGAGGAAAAAGTTGAAGCAAAACTGGATGCAGATGTAGAGGCAAAAGGTGGCTTCCATGCACCTGACGTCTCTTTAAAACTGCCAAAGTTTTCTATCCCAGGCTTTGTCTCTAAGGAAAAAGACCTAGGTAAGCCAAGTGGTGACCTTGAAGCTAAAACCAAGGTCAAGATGCCTTCTGTTGAGCTCTCGTTACCAGCAGCTAAAACACCAGAGACTGAGGTTCTTCTCCCAAAAGCAGAAGTTGATGTTACAGAGGCTGATATAAGAGGTTATGAGGGAAACCTTAAAATTCCCAAAATGCCAACGATTGATGTTTCTCTCCCCAAATTAGACCTTGATGTGTCCTTGCCCAGAGGAAAGTCTCCAAAGATTGAAGGACCAGACCTGGAGCTAAAAGGGGGTGACGGAAAATTCAAAAGGCCTCATTTTAATATGCCTGCACTTGATATTTCACTTCCAAAAGCAAAGACTGATTCACCAGATTTAGAAATGAAGGAGACTACAGAGGGAAAGTTAAAAATGCCTCACATAAAAATGCCCAACATTGACATATCGCTTCCTAAAGGAAAACTCAAAGATACTGAGGCAGAAATAGAAGTGGATGGACAAGGAGAAGCAAAAGTCAAAACACCTTATCTGAAAATGCCCAATGCTGATGTTTCTCTGCCTAAAGGTCATATTGAAGGTCCAGAGATAGAGATTCAAGGAGAAGGTGGAAAATTCAAGATGCCACATCTAAGCATGCCTTCTGTTGATATTTCATTGCCCAAAGGGAAGATTGGAGGTCCAGATGTTGAAGTAGAAGGACATGGCAAAGGAAATTTTAAGATGCCTCACTGGAAAAAGCCAGATGTTGATATCTCTCTAACCAAAGGACAGATTGAAGGTCCAGAAGTGGAGTTAAAGGGGGAAGGTGGGAAATTTAAGATACCACATCTAAGCATGCCCTCTGTTGATATTTCACTGCCCAGCGGAAAGACTGGAGATGCAGAGACTGAAACAGAAGGAAATGAAAGAGCGAAATTCAAAACACCACAAATGAAAATGCCTTCAGTTGATATTTCAGCACCCAAGGGAAAGATTGAAGGTGCAGATATCGAAATGAATGTTGATGTTTCTCTACCTAAAAGAAAAGTTGAAAGTCCAGGAGTTCGAGATGTGGAGATCAAAGGAGAAGCTGGAAAATTCAAGATGCCCCACATCAATATGCCTTCAGTTGATATTTCACTACCTAAAGGAAAAACAGAAGGTGCAGAGATCGAGCTGGAAGGAGGTGCAGGGGGGGGGATCAGAATGCCTCAGGTCAAAATGCCAGGTTTTAACGTCTCTCTACCCAAAGGAAAAGCTGGCAAAATTAAAGGAGAGATTGAAATTGAGGGAGATGGCAGCAAAATGCCACATATGACAGTGCCTTCAGTCAATATTTCACTTCCAACGGGAGAGACTGAAGGTGCCAACGCTACAATTAAGGGTGAGGGAGGAATATTCAGGATGCCAAAAGTTGACATTTCTCTTCCTAAAGGAAAACCTTCAGTGCAAGGTCCTGAGGCAGATATCAGGGGAGATAGAGGAGAGTTCAAGATGCCAAATGTGGGCATATCACTTCCCAAGGGAAAAGTAAACATTGATACACCAGCAGAGAAAATGGAGACAGAGGGAGGAATCATCAAACTGCCAGATATCAAGATGCCAAAAGTTGATATTTCACTCCCGAAAGGCAAAAGTAAAGGTAGTGAGGTATCTGTTGTAGAGATGAAAGTAACCAGTTCTGATATTAAAGTTCCAGAGGGAGAAATACTACTGCCAATGGCTAAAACCACTGAAGCAGAGATTAACTTACCAAGTGGTAAGGCTGACCTGGACACTGGGGCTCTTGGAGAAGCTGATTTGCATTTTGAGGGTGAGCACAAAGGCCTAAAATTAAAAGTCCCGACAATAGATATCAAAGGTCCAAAAGGAGGCTTAGAACTTGATACTGGACTTCACAAAGGGGAGGGCAAAAAGGACAGGAAAAAAGTTGATCTACCTGACTTAGATGTCACTACAGAAACCAGCAGCAAAGTAAAAGGGCCTAAAGTCAAAGGAACAAAATTCAAGATTGGAATGCCAAAAAAGAAAAACGGTGGAGAAAGATTTGAGTATTTTGAAGTTGAAACCCAGAATGGTCATAAAGATGACAAAAATCGTGTTAACCATCCAGTACCAGAAGTTACATTACCAAGTGTAAGTCTAAAAACAGAAGTGAAAGGAGAGGGTGGCTCCTCATCTCCACATGCAGGAATCAGAGTCCCCAAAATACCAGACATAGAGTTTGATATTGGCTCATCTCAAGATGGAGATAACAGCAAAACAGAAAAAGGCAAGAAAATCAAAATCCCTAAGTTTGGCGTCCCATTACCCTCCCTATCCTCACCAGAGGAAAGTGTGAATGTCCATGGGCCAGAAATTCAGTATGAGGGCCCTAAAATGCCTAAAGTAAAGAAAGCGGTTTTTGTCTTGGTAGACACTCCTCCAACAAATGAGCCTGCTACAAGCACAAGTCCCTTAAAAGGGGAAGCAATGGCTGAGGCTGAGACAGAGACTGTCAAAGTGAAGATGCCCAAAATCAAAAAGAAGCCAAGCTTTGGAAAGTCCAAAGAAAAGTCAGCTGCTGCAAGTGCAGAAAAAGAAGGGGCAGAAGAAGAAAAGTCAAAGGGGGGAAGAATAAAGATGCCTAAAGTGTCGTTTTCGTCTGGCAAATCTGCATCATTTGGTGGTGACACTGTCAAAAGAGAAGGTTCAAGTTCAAGTCTCAATGGTGAAAGCCCTCACAAGGGCTCCAAGGAAGAGAAGGTGGCATTCAGTGGTAAAATCAAACTCCCAAAGGTGGAGTTCACCAGTCTATATGGGAAGACGGGTGCAAGAGGAGCAGACATGGAAACAAGTGGGGAACTGGGAAAGCATTCATCACCAGAAGAAGTACAATCAAGCACAATGTTACCAGGGGGTTTCACTGAGGAGCCTTTGAAGGATTTGGTGTCTTCTCGTGCCAGAACAGAAATGCTGGACAGGGACAGCTCAGAGTCCCCTTCTGGTTTTGCCACAGAGTTCACCTCAACAAAGTTTCAAGCTTGGAGCAAGGTGGAGAGCAAAAGCAGGGAATCAGAAGAGAGAGAGTCTTCCTCATGGTTTAAGGTCCCAAAGGTCACCTTGAAGCCACATGCCACAGGTAAGGCTAAAGGAGATGCTATCCGATTGTTCAGTCTGACGTCACTAGCCGTGTCTGGGCCTAAACTCTGCTGCAGGTCCATATATCAAACAATCACTATGGCATTACTGAGAGTTGAAAAACTGTCTAAAGTCTTTCATCTTTAATAAAATGATCAGCGTTCTGCTCTACCAGGTGTAACAATTGAGTTTAACATCCAGGCATCCATGAAAACGGAATTTATGACATCTAACGGAGTTAGAAGTTAGCAGGAGTTAGCTCGCTAGCTTCTATCTAAATACAATATAGCATGTCCTGACTGCGGGGTTTGGAAACAAATTAAAACGTACAGCTCTGCTATCACTTCCAGCATTAATGAAGACAGAAAACTAAACAGCAGTGACGTTTGTAGGGTTACTGAAGTTGGGTTAGCTGGTATATAATGATGTGCTACGTGACCGCTAGCGACACAGCTATGTTAGCATAATATAAACAAGCTAACTTTTTTTCCACTCAATAAAAGTTAACGTGAGTGTTCTCGGTGGTCAGGAACAAATGTAATCACATGGCAGGATGCTGTAAAAGGACCAAACTTCAGCCAGGAGAACAACTGAGATAATCCATCCACAATACGAGGTTAGTCATTCATATACTGCTGCATGGGCTGGGCTGTAGTTACATCCTAAGGTTTTAAAAGCTGAGCTTAAATAAATGATTAGTGGTAATAAAAGCCGAGGGAGGTCAACAGTGATCACTGACTGTTTTAGGAGCTTTTTGAGATCAAATAGAAGAAAATACATAACATTAAACATGTTAACAACACAAAAGCCATATTAAACGCAGACTACTTTAGACCCGGAAGTAGGATTCGTCGCGTCATCACTGAACAACCGGATTGGGCTGGCATTACGTCAATACTGCTGTTAATGTTATTATTAAAGCCGCTTTTTGTAAAAACCCTCTGAGATATTTAATTAAAAACTTCACCACAAGATGGCAGCATTTTACCAGAAAGTTTTAGTGCAGGTTTTGAACCCAACCCAGTCAGCTTTAAATTCTTCTGCATTCATTTGATGAATCACTGTGCATTGCCACACTAAAAGACTAGTCATCCAGTGTTTCATGTTTCTTTAAGAAAAATGCATAGCCTGAGCTCTTATATATTTTAATAGATATAGTAAGGACAAGAAAATAGAGATTTTTTTATCAAAGCACTACATTGAAAATTTAGAAAAATCTAAATTTGTATCTACCCCGTCTATTAAATTTGCCCGTTTAGTTGCATTATGAGAAATGAGAAAATAAAGCATATAAATGAGAAAATGAAAAACTGTAAAAGTCTACACATTCAAAAATGATGTTTAATCAATTTTGCATGTGGTTCTCATATGTTATGTCTGGATTTTACTGGGTTTTTTCACTATATTACCACAGGATTTATTAGAATATACTTTACACTATCTATACTTTATTCTTGCTGCTACCTTTGATGTTTTTTGTATATTTTTTTGTGTTCCTGGTAAATAAATCACTAATCTATATACTCTTGTTTTGTCTCTTCTACATAAGACTAAGTTTCTTTTCCCTCTTGATTTCTTCACCTATCCTCCTCTTTTTCTTTCATTTCTCTTATTTCCTGGCCTACCTACTGCAGGCTTCCTCCAGATAACTCCAGAGAGTTCTCCTCAGGCCCAGCAGAAAGGTGAGGTAGGGGGTGAGGCAGATGTCTCGGGGTCTTTCTGCCTCCACACCTCAGGGCTCGACTTCACCACCTCGCAAATGACCGAAGAGCACCAAATCTCTTCCTCCGAGGAGGGAACTGTCACCATGGTGACAAAGACCACCAGAATCACCCACCTGGCTGAAACACGAACAGACGAGTCTTCAACGACCACAGCAACAACAAAGACAACAACAGCAGCTCACCAGGTGTCAAAGTACTGAAGATGCTGGAATGGTATCTTTAATGTATTTTACTTTTCTTGTTATTGTTGTTTAGTTTTTTTGTGAGGTTGCCGTGTTAATATAAAGTAAACCTCTAATAAAAGGACAATTCATCCCCAAATTAGTGATACATTAGTTTTTTCTTCTGACCTGTAGTGCTGTTTATCTACTGAACTTTTTTGAACTGATTATTTGTGGGCTCCACGCATCATTTCTCCAGCTAATATCGCCAAAACTGGGCAACTCTAACCAAATCAATTTAGATGGATAAATAGTAACATAGCCCAGAGGAACACCGTGTATATTAATTTGGGGTTCATCTGTGCCTTAACAAAAAAAATTATATTATATTTTCATAGATGATGTATGAATGTGATGAACTACAATAACATTACATCAAGCAGTATTATTGTCATTATTATAGCTAAAGATTGCTATATATTTCCTTCTCTCATCTTACATGTGACGACTTTTTTTGTTACGGTTTGTTAGTTTAGTCCAAATTATTTATCCGATTTTGTTTGGTTTTTAAAGGTTTCACTCTGAATGTAAACATGTCGGACTGCTTCATTATTTATTTTTGTTTTGTGTTTGAAATGCGCTGGAAAGAGTCTTTTACTCACATCGACTTCATGGTTCATGATTCAGTTCTATGATCATTTAAAAATATTTCATTATGAACCATCACAACGTAGGCCAGAGGAATATTTATGTAAATAAAACAATATAATTGCTTTTTTGAAGCTGTTTCCTTTTCAGTTCAAAATGTATTTTCATATTTACCAAAGCATAAATGATATTGTTTTGACCTCAAACAATGTTTTGTTTATCTTGAAGAAAAAGTGTGAACTTTCTGAGATTATGGGCTTTTTTTTGCCATAGTTTTATATATTAGCACATTTAGCCTGTGCTTTTTTTTTTTTCCCAGAGACGGTCAGTGAGTAAGCAGGACGCTCTGGACTCTTTATCTGCTGTGGGGATCAAACCTGTGACTATCTGGTTATAGGTTGCTCTCAAATATTTAGCCCAACCTGCTGCTAATATATTTTTTATTAATGTTTTTACTGTACAATGCCAAAAAAAAGGGCACCACTGTATTTTTTGTGAATGAGGCTGTAGCTTTAAAATACACTGATATTTCTGAAGCTCGGCTGTTAAGTATTGTTGCGTTTCAAAACATCAGCAGTGAGCTGGACGGAAATTTGGGGATTTAAACCAGAAATTCAGAAATTTTAGAGAGGAAACTGTAAAGTTTATTCTGTTGATCCAAGTTGCTAAAAGGCTGCTAGAGTGAGACTAGTGGGGGTGGCGTGTCTTGATCTTGTTGCAAAGCAATCGTGTTAGAAAAAAAGGCCAGAAAACAGAGTTATAAATATTTCTAAAAACACCAAAAATTACTGTCGGAGAGATTGAAACTTTAAGTGCCTTTACCCAGTACAATTTAAACAATGTATCTACTATTTAATGTATAAACTGTTTTAAAATGGAATAATCTTCTTGAATATCAGTTTTTATGTCTCTAAATTTTGATATTTAAGTTTAATTTATAAACAAAGAACTTACCATTTATAAACATGTTTGTAATTTTTCTGGTATTCTGTTAAAACGTCCTACCTTAAAGGATACACCAATCAGGCTTTTTGAACGGTTTTCTATTTTCAAGTAGATGTAAAACATTTAAGAATAAACACTTTTATGTTTCCTTTATTTGGCTGACTGATGGAATGAAGCTGCGTGGTAAAATGCATGAATCCATAAAAGAGTTGTCTCATTAACAACGTTTAGCACAGTGCCTTTTTTTGCAGCTGAGAACTAGAACTTTAAAAAAAGCTGAGACGAGTAGTGACATGTGAAGGTAACGCGCACTGAGGCAGGATGTACATGCAGAGAGATTTTTAACTTTCTGGTTTAACAAGGTCTTCGAATTTCTTTTTGATTCTAAGGGTTTCAGTGGCAAGTGTTTTGTCAGAGCTGCATTGAAAGAATGTTTGTAAAGATGTTACTTAAATAAAGTAATATTCACACAAAAAGTCTTCTGTCCTGTAGTCAAATTTTAAATAAATTTCAGTGAAATTTTCAAAGAGACAACATTATTTCCTACTCCATATTTTTATATTGCATAATTCTCATCTCAGAGTTATTCTTCATCATAAGCTGGGCCTTGGTGCAGATCCTCACTTCATTAAATGTCTGAAACAAGCTGTTTTTAGATCTTCACTTTAAGGCCACCCAACTTTCATAAACCAACTGCCCCCTGAATCGATGCCCCTCACAGGGGCAACGGGTAGGTGGAGCTTGTGTGTAGCACTTTGTGCCTTAATTGACCATATTAGGGAGATCCTCCCTCTATGACATCATCCCTAGCCAAGGGTATAAAAAAAATGACTGAAAAGGCTATTTAAAGCAGTTTATAGCAATTTATGGTGTGTGTATACTTGCCTCATTATTTGAAAACCACTTTATTTAATATAAGCATACACCATTTAAGAGTATGACAGAACATATGAACAAAGCACAACATGTACATTTTAAATTCCTAATATAAGAAACGCAGTGGTCTGGAAGCCCATTTAAATCCAGAAAAATAATTAAGACTCTTAATAATCTTTAATGTATTTCTTTTTGAATATTTTGACTATATGATACCAAAGCTCGGTTTTACTGGCCTGTTTATATTAGAGTTATGAAAAAGATCCATAGCACACGAATGAGGCTTATTGAAAATGTCTGGAGAGGAGGACTTTGGAGGGAAAAAGTAAATTGTGCACATGGATGTATGACGTCTTCTTTCTATGTGTGTGTGTGTCTGTGTGTGTCTCCCAATCTACTCATCTGCTGCTGTGATGATGCTGTGAAAACGTAGGCTCTCTGGTGAGAGTATGTGAGGCTACACTAATGCTGTATGAGGAGTAAACAATGCCATGAAGCAGAGACAGGGGAAAGTGCAGCATCACCAGCTACAAACTTACTGTTTTCAGTTCACTGAACAATTTCAGCATTTTTAAAATCTCATAATTTCATCCCTTTTAAAATAAAGTTTCTTTTGGCTAATACCAGGGTGTTTTTGTTGTTGTTGTATTTGTTTGGAGCCGGAATTAACCATATTTGGATGAATCCTTGCAAGTTCCGTTAGCAAGAGGTTAGCAAGGTAAATGCTAATGCTAAGCAATGGAAACATAAATTACTAGAATTTTAATCACTGAAACTAAAATCAGCGCCTCTTAGATGGTGTCATAACAATTTAAACATACTCCACACTGTACCTTAATATCCAATATGCTGTCACACACAAAAAAATGGTAAAATCATAAACAATGGGTGAAAGTAGCATCTAGTCTGCACTTTTACTACAACAAGCACAGGTACTGGCTCCCTGATAGGTGACTAACTCACTGTCCTAATATAGATAATGTAGATAATACAGTGAGTAGAAAAATAAACAGTTATTAATGCAATGAAACTCAACCATTACATAAACAGTAGCACTGTAGACCAAGTGACTTATGTAAACACAGACACCTGTGGCTAGTCTACTGGTAATTTTGGCAAATTAAGCTAACAAGTAATATAAAAAATGACCTCTAAAATTTCAGAATATTTACTCCTTTATTTCAAAAGCTTATAGAAATATGGAGAGAACACAAATACTTTCATAGGTGACCTGTGGGTGACATTTTCACTTTCCGTAACTGTTTCTCTTGTGTATATTTTTCTGCTGCACACTGAAAAAAAATCAACTAATTTTATTGTTAAGTATTTTCAGAGAAAGCTGCTTGTCATATCTCAGGAATACATCAGAGAAACCGGGAGTGTGCCCAGAAAAAGCAAAAGTAGCCATATTTTTCTGTGATTTGTTACTTTTTCTAATAGTTATATTAATTAACTCACCAGTCAATAATAATTTTGCTACTGGGATTCTTTCACTTGTACTTAAAAAACACATTTCGTCTAAAATGTCCCATTTTGTTTGGTTGTTTTTTCAGAATAAACACATTTAAACTATTTTAATGGGGAATGGTTAAAATTCCAGACACTGTGTTTTTATTACATGTTATATTCACCTCTGAAAATGTCAGAAATCAACGTACATATGATAAATATTGTGTTAAATTCTAGATCTAGGTCTGAAGCTCCCAGTAGCAAACAAATAGATTCTGTTTGTTCTATTTTAGACCAGTGTGTTCTTTCTCCCTAAGTGTGGCATCACGAACCCTCCATACACTTCCGCTCGCCTCACCTCTCCCTGCTCTGTGTGGCACGAATCACGCCTCCTATCAGTGAGTGGGCTGTAAGTCAAATTAGCTCTTCGTCATCCTGCTCGCTGTGCACACCGGAGGCTACTGCGGTAAGATGCGGCGGCGCACGATGCCGAGCCGCGGCGGATGAGATGATGCGCAATGGCTGAACGAGTCGGGAGGAGAGAGCGAAAAAAAAGAGGCTGTGCTCTGATTTAAACGATGGGACAGGACTGAATGGATGTTCGAGCGATTTGTAACGTTTGTGGTGCAGGCCGAGTAGAAAGATGAGGCGGCGCTGATTCCACTTTAGGATGCTCCAGAGCCCGAGAGGAGGGGGAATAGGCTTCGTCTGTAAACAATAAGGAAGCAGAGGGGCATTAAGTAAAGGACACTTAATCCAGAGCCTGGACCTGAGACCCCGGGGCTTCGAAAAAGGTAAGAAACAATGAGCACTCGGCTGTGGGCATCCCTCTCAGGACATGCTGGCTGGGAACACAGGTAGTGCTGGTACACTGTGTGGTTTGACGTGGCTCATCTTCATCACAGTGGTGCTGATAGGAGTAGGCTAAGTATGACATACGTGGCTCAAACCTATTTTCGTCGCTTATGTGGCGGGTTATTGATGCTCTTCGGGTAAATCCTTTAAGCTGTGTGGGCAGGAGAAGTGGATTTATGGGTTTATGGCCACCTGTGTTTCGTTTTTGGTCTACTGGATGATTGTGTGTGGCTGATGCAACAACTAATCTAATTCTCACCACAATGCAAATGGTGTCAGTTCCCATTTTCATATATATAAAAGAGCCTGTTTGGGTCGGAGTAGTGGGAAAAGAAGTCACTTTGGATTCAAATGCATGACCTCTGACAGACTCACACCTCCCACACTGACTTACAGCTGCAACCCATTGAGCCAAACCAAAGTGAAGTCAGCATTAAATAATTTTAATATTTAAGCTTTTTATTCATTTGCTGGATTGGGCCTCCTCTTGGCGGGATCCTTGCTCTTTAATCATATCACACTACCTTATAATAAGTCTGCACTATGAGTCTTTAATTTCCATGTTTGTTTTATTTATTTTACCCATTCCCCTGCAGGGTGCTCTGTGACAGCTGAGTCAGTCCTCAGTGAGGAGAGGACAGTGAACGGGGAGGGCGGCGAAGCTCTGGAGACAGCGTCACTGAGCGTCAGCCTGGAAGAAAACAAACTTCTCATTTCCCTTGCTCTCATCAGCACTGACAGCTGGACATCACACCTGCATGTTTCTCTTCTTCATCAGGAGACTTTCTAAGTTGAGGAGTTATAGATGCAAACAGTGGCAGGTTGCCCGTCAGAAAAACAACTGATTCTGTCTTCAGATGCAGTCAGAATAATCTGCTAAAATATGAGATTACAAGGAGATTCATCTCCCTCCGGCCATGTTAGGAAACATCGTCTTCGGTACCACTGTCAGAATTAATCAGTGAGAAATTTGTTTTAGCTGTTTCATAGTGCCCAGTGATGTTTTTCTAAATGATGATCTTTTTACCTTTGAGCTGTCAGGCTGTGAATCAAGAATAGATTCTTGATTGTGGCAGCGCTCCCTCTCACAAATGAGAATTGAACTTGAGCCGACAGGCTGCATTTTAATAAAGGATAAGCAAAAACCAACCAATAAAACATAGATGAGGCCCACAACAAGCACTATGCTCCAGCAGAATAACAACAACAACTACCCGTGCCTGAGCATGTCAGGCTCTAGCCGGGAGATGCTCCAGAAATGCTCCAGAGCCTCTCTGCCCTTCCCCAGCCGACTGGAGCTGGGACTGGCCGATCTGCCGCTCATTCGGGGTCTCCGAGCCTGGGCCCTGTGTTCCAGGAATCGCCACAAGACTGCTAATCTGCTGGGAGGACAAGCACCCACAGCTCCTCCTGCAGGTCGAGGAAGTTCAGCGTCCTGCCCCAGGCCTGCAGATGTTTGCCTGAGTGGCGAGTGGAGTCGCATGGGATATGGGCTTCCGCTCGGGGTGGACAGTAGGCAGGCTGGAATCGGAGCTTTGGTAACAGTTGCCACTCTGAAGACCTCAGAGGGCAGCGGGAAGACTCAGACTCAGTGTTTGTTCCTCCGGACTGAGAAAGGAAGCTGTTTGTATTCAGCAGCTAAGCCCAACTCTGGAGTGACAACCAGTGCAGCATCCAGTGTGGTCGGAGGATGGCTGAGAGGAAAGACTGGAGTAGGAGGAGGACGCAGAGACACTCCAGCTGGGCCAACTCCACCGGCACAGACTGGAGCAAACCAGGTTAGGGTGCGATCGGGGCGGAGATGGAGGAAGTCTGACAATGCAGCGTGCCGGGAGAAAACAGGCGTGAGCAGAGAGAGGCAGCAGAGGAGCAGGGAAGTTCCTGCTGGTGAAATCGCTGTGGAAGAAAGGCAGGAAGAGCAAGACAAAGGAGGCCTGGACTGTAAACAGTTTCCCACCCCACAGCAGGACAGCCGGCGAGCCAGATGCAGCCACAGCGTTTCTCCTAAATCCTGCGTCCAGTGTGGAAGGAGAGCACAGAGGAGGAAAAGCCAGGATGGACACGAGGGAGGCATCCCAAACAGGCTGAACAGTGAGGTGACGGGAATGAGGAAGGAAAGGCAAAAGAATGAAGAGGAGGATAAGGGAGGCCTCGGCAAGTTAGAGTCTTCCAGCTCTGTTTTGACTGAACTAAACCCTGACCTAGAATCTACCCGTTCTTACAGTGACTCCCACGACAGCTGCGATGTGGGAGAAACAAGAGAAACTGAGAGCAGCGAGGGGCAGAAGACACAAGC